ACGGGTAACCATCTGCCCCAGGGAATCGCTCACACGATCTTTTGGTCCATGTGCAATATGTTGAATCAGTCGTATTGGAGAATTTATAATAAAGCGGAAACACGGAATGGTAACGTGATTGTTGACCTCGTCAAATTGGGTCGGGTTTTGGACAGGATTGACAATCAGTTCTGATATTTCTTAACAAATTAGTATAATTTATTATAGGGTCTATTAAATGTGATAATAACTGAAATCTGTAAAATAACGTATTTTTTAAAAATATTTTCATGAATGCTTTCTTTTCTTTTTTTTTAAACATACCTGTGCTTCTTCGTTTTTTGAACGTTCTCAGCGCATTTCTTTTCATTATATTCTCAAAGTTTTGTGCTGGTTAAATAGCTTTTTATTCATGTTTAAGTTGAAATAGAAATAAAATCCAAATTTTAATTTTAAAATTATTATAAAAATTATATTAAAACATTAAAATATCAACAGAGAAAGGATAAATAATGTTTTCTTTATTCATAACACTGGAACGAAGTAAAGTTACTACAGGCTAACAATATCATTATTGGTGAAATACAAGGATAGCTATATGTGAACATCGATTGTATTTGATAGATGTATTGATAGGGCAAATGAGCACCATTAAATAATATAATATAATATAATATCCGTTTAAATTGTCTTGCTTTTGGCTAATTCTCGGCATCAGTACTAAGAAAATGCCTAAAATGTCTAATTCTAAAGTTATGCTACAACATATAAATGTGCTTCAATAGTTAACACTCTAGAATTAATAATTCGTTCGCAAAGATCAATTTTACGCAACATGTATGTTATTAATAGACACATGCAGTGCTCACATGCTCAATTATGGAACATTTTGAAAGATAAAGCTTCAAAAATGTAATAATCCCCTCCCCCCAACAAAAAAAACTTTGATAAAGCTGGCTGTAGCAATGACGAACAATTTTCAAAAAATTACGGAAGCGGAAGAAAATCTCTGAGTAATTCACAACAGGTGTTGTGTAACAGATCTAAGCTTAATCAAAGTCACTTGTACCTTTTTAGATCAGTCTCTGGTGCTTGCTGTTGCACGTCAGTTTCGTCCTGCGGATAAGAAGGGTGACAAAGTCAATGCCTTGTTTCAAAGCCCAGGGGGTACACTGGATGAGCTGAGACAAGCTTTTATCGAGGAGTGGGCAAATCTCAGCCAAAGGTACACTGAGCATCAACAGAGTCAGTGCCTGGAACAATGGATCATGTCTATGGCAGCTAATTCTTCCTACGAGACACCGTCACTGTGATAAAATAACTCATTGCATAGCATTACCTTCGCCATTTCAGGCTTCCTTGAACATTAAATTTGCTTTCCCATACAAATTGCCGCTAATTTACCAAGTTAATTTTTAAAAATACCATATATACTGTAATTTGAACAAAATATTATATCAAAACACTGATGTGCCTGTAAAACAATGTATTTTGAAATTGTTTAAACTCTGAAATAGCAGATAAAATATCCTTTTGAAATATTTCATCATTTTAGCAAGAGTGGAAGTCTTGTTACTGTTAAATTGAATCAAAACTAATTTGTGGTGTGGACAAATGATAAAAATTCAATATAGAATGATTCACCAACATGGTTAATAAGCAAAATCCATAATATTCCTTCTCAAATATCGATTTTAATACTTAAAAGTAACAAAGGGATGAATTGTTGCTACAAAATGGATGCTTTTGCTATAAAACTTGTAATAATCATACCATGCCAACCTACTGTTAGATACGGTCTATAAATACCCTCAACATTCAGAATGCAAGATAGGTGGCTTTAAAGATGCATACAAAGTCAATTTTTTGTCACAAAAACCAACCAAATGCCAGTGTATAGTTTCAAGGAGTATAACTAAGAGAATTACTAAAAGACATTGATTTATTTTACCCGAAAATGATGTTAGAAAGGATTTTTCTGCTAGCATTCTCTGCTGTATGTCAATGGGGCAGAAAAGTAGGTCACGAAAGTAGGTTAAATTTCCGACCAAAAATTTAAAGAAAGGAGCAGTCTAGATCTCTTAAATGGCTGATCGAGTGATCTTTTCAGACTATCCCTTGGCATGTCGAATTTATTTGAGTCGTATAAGAAACTATAGTAGAAGTGGTTTACTTGCGTTACTGGAAATCCACGCTCCACCGATGCTCGATTCGTATGTACCTTTTAAAACGCCAAAGTTCTGGGCAAATAAAAAAAATCAAATAGATGATATAACCGTTATTATTTAACTAAACAAAAAAATTACAACAATTTATATTTAAATATCCAAGTGTTTATTCACAAGGCCAAATCAGTGCCCAACCCTACATTTATCCTTTAATGGGCTTCTTTTTTCATACCTAGAAAGCCCAAACCGCTGTCACCATCGCCATTAGCATCAAAAGTCTTTTGGTACCGGCTTGAATGTTTCCTCGGTTCTGCTTTGGGGTTGAGATCGTGGTCGCACCATAAAATGGCGTCACGGAGCCGTCTTTCGTGGCGTTCGCCGAGCAAGCAGAGAACGACGCTGTACGTATCCCTACGGGTCCACCGGGAATATCCAACTGCACATTTCGCAGAGCGTTTTCCATCCATGTTTGTACTTGGTCGAAAACGTTACGACCTTCCTCGTAGTTTGCAAGTCTCGCGTGAAGGATGAGCAAAGTTTGAACGAGGAAAGTGAAGGACGAGTTCTCCCCGCTGTGTTTCGGACTGCAGGAAACAATACGCGCATTCACGGTTTGCAGTACATTTCTCATTCGACCATCACGGACTATATTCGTACAACCATTCCCCGCTGTTGGAATCCAGCCGCAGGGTTCAAAATTCAAGTAAACCGTTGACTTTAATACCGTGAAATTATACAGAATAGGGCGGCAGCCCTGGTCATCTGGAACATACCCAATGGGACAAAGCTCCTGATCTATAGCCTGGAGAAAAAGAGAACGTGTGCGGATTTGTGGAACATTTATACTATTCAATAACAAATAGCAACACAACAGTTGAGCTAAGGTTCATGTATTTACGATACCGGCAGTCTAAGACCATAAAACCAACACAGAACTGCTGGCACTAATGATATTAAAATGTTAACATAAACTCGGGAAAGAATTAGTAGAGTAACAGTCCCTAATCTGTTTGTTAATTTGCAATTTTTATTATCATCATCGTTATATCTTTATCGTAATTTGCTTTCTCACCAAATCCATGAGGTCGTTCATTTGTTTTCTGTCTTGATCTCCGACGTGCAACAGAGAGCGGAAAGAGAAGCCATCGAATTTCGAATTCGACGTTGCGGAGCTCTGATCTGAATATAACATTGAACAGTTACTTAGTTACAGTTTTTTTTTTGGGGGGGGGGAGGGGGGAACATTGTAAGCTTTCTCGAATCAACCAATGCTTCAAGACTCGATTGTGAGCCCGGTCGCTCAGTTAAATCAGAATACGGTTGTGTAATGATAGCCTACTAGTAAAACTTTCCTCTTGGGATAGAAATTACCAAGTATATTCTATAATGTGTTCCTCAATATAGTGTCAAACGTTTTTCCATATTTGCAAGTGTAATTTATGTATAAAAGTTTTGTTTTACAAAGTCTAAAATAATTACACTGATGACCGCTAACCACACTAAATGTGCCAATCTTTCATAAGGCGTCAGTAAAAGGCATAATTCTGTCCTTTCGGAACAATTTATAACTCCTAAAACAATAGGAAGACATATATTGCCGGTAATAAGGCAAATTTGACCTTGACATTTTGATGGGAGTTACTGGGTTGCTTAGTAGTACTGACTCGTGCTCTTCTGGCTTTCTTATGGTAGTAACGGTCAAGGTCACAAGAGAGAAGGCGTCAATTTGATTGCTCATATTGGCTGGCTAACCCATCAAATTGAAAGGAAGAAGGTTCCAGTCTAAATCTTCAAGTCACGGACAAGGTATGAGGTAATTACTTTGGATCTATTGGGACATATATATTTCACACTCGCTAAAATGGAATAGCATCCTTAACGTCTTAGAGCTCATTCGATCCCAATGAAACCTACGTAGCTCTACGTAGATCTTTAAGCGATGCTCGGCAGTAAATTTACTTTTGGAAAATTACCCCTATCCAGTTTTGCTTGCTACTACAGGAGAACGGAAATGAATCACCTATACTATTCAAAAGATAAATTTAGAAAAAGGAACAACAAAACGCACCACTTACCTTCGCAGACTTTAACTGGACCTACATAACAAAGTATACAGTGAACGTTCTTGTAACTTTGATCCGAGCCGCTTATGACAACAGGGTTGTTGTACGCCATACAGGCATCTCGTAAGGCTGAGTGCAGAGGAAGTGGACGAGGCAAACGATATGGACTTCCATTGGTATATCTGAACCGACAAGGACCAAACGCAGGGTTCTCAACGTCCCGGAAGCACGTCTTCACATTCCACTCCTGTTTGGGCTCAAACGTACCACTGCAACCGACAGCTTCCAGTTTTCTTATAACACAAGATGAGGACCTGCAATTAGCAAAATGCCCAGCGTCTTCCCCCAGGCAGAAGACGACAAGTTCCCACGGGTCCCAGCCGTTTGCGATACCATTACACGCTGCACAGTACTTGTTTCTGAAGGTGAGCATTGTAGCTGGGTCGGTGACTGGCCGCTGCAAGATGGCGTCCTCTGAGAGACTGGCATTTGATGCATCAGTACACTTGATGCGACTTTCCTCTTCTTTCCAAGATGACGGGCATTCGTCAACCATCCAAAAACTCAGTCCAAAATTGTCCATATAGGGTAAGTTGGTTTGCTGGTTTTGTCGGAGTAATGCTGGGCTTCTTCTACAAGAGCTTTTATGTGCCAAAAAAATAGCCGCAGGGTCGACTTGTTTTTTCTGCCTTGTCCATGTTTTGTTAGAAGATGCAGTAGAAGTGGTGTTACTACTGGGAGTTTCTGTTATATTCCATGCAGGAGTTGCTACATGTTGCAAGGTACTTTTCGCCGTTGTTAATCTGACAGAGGCGGCGCACACCGTCGTGTTTTCAGTCAGTCCATAACAGCAGTCGCCATACAAGACGCACAGTGNGGCTCGATTGTCGTCATCGGACCACGTGACCACGTAGCTCATTAACTCCCAGGCCGAGCAAATAGGGCGTTTTTTAAAGCCAAACATTTACAAATGAGCTTTTAATTTGTGTATTTGGATAAAGATATCGTTAGTTGGGCATGTTTTCTGAAGAATATGTTCCGTTGAAGCCATTCTGACGGTATGAAGCAAATCCTTTAAGAATAGGTGTTATGTCTGCAAAGATGCTTATAAATTGACTCCTGTTTCCTCCGTAACTTAAATTGGGTTTGATATCATTTCTGCGGTAATACAATATGGGCTAATTTTAGTACCAGGTGCAGGCAACACTCCTGAAAGCATTTGCCAAGAAAAGCACAATATACCTTAAATAACCCTGTGTCATGTTCAGATGATTTATTTTATATTTCAGATAAATACACTTGTTTTTCTCGGTTTAATGCCTTTAATCAAATTGATAAATGAGCTAATTATTTACCACAAATAGACAAAAATTTGTGTTAACACATTTAATGCTGTCTGCTTTTCCCGCAGTTTTAAGTAGGGATCGTTAACCATTGGTAAGTATGGGAAAATTGCCGTTTACTCCCGGAAAAGCCAATTTTTGACCAAAACGAAGAGTTATTTTGACTTAAACACATAATAACAACCCTGTCAAATACACTTGGTAAACTACTGCGTGCTTGATAGAGTTCGTACAAACAATTTGATACGTTGTTCGTGGTCACTAATTTAAAGTTCGTGCCATGAAATTGTGAAATTGTGGTTCTTTAGTAATTCGGCGTTCGTGCTGACAAAACCGAGACTAGTGGTCGCACACAGCAATTACCATCAATACACAATGAGGACTGCATATGAGAGATGAGAGATGTGGCTCAAAAATCTGAAAGAAGGGATCTCTGAGCAAACCAAGTGGCCAGTTGCACTTTTAATCGTTCATTCAGTTCTTTTCAAAGATGGCAAGAGCTCACGATTGCTATCAAGATATAATCAGTAACTCACTAGTGATAATTTTTTTTTAGCAAAATGTTCATTACCTTGGCAGTTAGATAATAAATGAAAATTATCAAACATAACGGTGGCGTCTATCTACCTGACATTTATAAGAGGGTCCTGGTCGCTATACCTCGTGTCAACATCGTCTCACATCAGTCCAATTTTTTTTTTTTTTTTTTTTTTTTTTTTTTTTTTTTGAAAAACTGGCGAAACCCGGCTTTTGGTAAAATCTTTTTAGTAATGACACAGTGCTTACGTTGTCTGGAAGATTATTTGTATGTGGTTACAGTGATCAAGATATTATTCGTTATTCATGGCAGGCGTACTCAATTAGCACACATTTTAAGCCGTATGTTATAACAGCTTTCATATGTGTCTTGAAACAAACCTGAGGGACAATCTTCTTATAGCCATTAGAACCAAAGTTTTTCATCATTCATTTGTATCTGGTATCAGTGATTGAAGTAATTGTAGTAATTACTTGCCAAAGTATTATCTGATTTTTGATTTTATGGCAATAATATATGTCAAAAACTTCTTATTTGATAGATGCATATGAGGTCAATTTTTCCAAAAAAGCCAAGCAAATGCCAACATAGAGTTTTAAATAGTATAACTAATATAATTTTAAGTTAAACGAGACTTACTTGTAAGTTGACGTTGGACTGGAATTCTGTCTTAAAAGCAAGCAAGCGAAGTCTCAACATCTGAAGAGCGCAGTCCCACATCTCGCAGAGTCTCGCGTCATATTTTAAAGATAACTTAGTGACACATGTATCACAAGATAAATCCCGTGAGAGGTGGGAAGGGTGGGATGTTAAGACTTCGCTTGCTTGCTTTTAAGACAGAATTCCAGTCCAACTTCAACTTACAAGTAAGTCTCGTTTAACTTAAAAATTCTGTCTTAAACGCAAGCTCCGTCTTAACATCTGAAGATTTTTAAAGCATATGTGTCACTAAGTAAAAGAAAAAACAAACAGCCAAGTAAGTTGCAACTACGTCCCTGGGGAGGTTATAGCCCAGCATGCCGTATGAAGCGCTGAAAGCTAGCAAACGAAAATATCTTTCTTTGCCAGACCAGGAACTTTATCTCTGCTTTAAGACCTGAGTGCTGGGTGCCAAGCACAGCAGGTATCGTTTATGATAATAGGAATGATAATCTTTTTAAGCTCTAGCACATTTTACGAAAGTTTAAGACCAGACGCACACATAAGTAGCGTAAGTAAAAACATATTTGGATATAGTAATAAGGAATCAGCATAAAATGCACATTTTACCATGCTAGACCGAAAACATGGCCTGCACCTAGGCTTGTATAGGGAGGTTTTAGCCATTGCTAACGGTACCCTTACCGTCAGCATGTCAGGCCGAAAAGTAAGGCAAATAATCACCAACCTTTCCGTATTCCACTCAACGCCAGGAGAGGGCGTGCTAATCTGTCAGTCTGATTGCATTCAGCGAGAGTCTCCCCGTGGACTTGGTGCGCACAAGCTGGTACGATAGATTAATTGTGAACGAACCCTACGTGACAAATACCAATGGCTGACTGGATTGATTATCATTCATTAATGTTATGTGATGTAAATGCAGAATGCATTAGAAATTCTGCGCGTAGCAGTTCGTCTTCCTAACCGCACTTAAAACCAGATTAACTGCAGAATTAAAATCAGAAGCACATAATCGTTTTTAATTTGAATTAATCACATAAATTACATAAAAGCATGCCTATCTTGAATAAGCATATCGCCAAAGTTAAAGAGATAACAATTGTTCCAATTAGTTTCACATTCACTATAAAAATATTTTAAAAACTCACATATATATACACATATAATGAGCTCCATTTTACCAACAAAACAACAGTTATCGCAATCTGTGCTTACCATCAGACCACATGGGTTTTCATAGATGGCTATACCTCCGTAATAATCTCTCAAGAATTTATTATTAAAAAAAAACAAACTTTATAAAAAAAAATGAATTCACTTTGAATGTCGGAATGGATTCATTTACCATTGGTGAATAAGAAAAATCGTCATTTTCCCCCAAGTTATTTCCCCGAAACGAACGGTTGTTATCCCTTTAACCAGGTACGGCTGCTGACTTCTAAGGGGCTTAGGCTTACTGTGGTACCTGAGGCAGTTTAAAACCTCTTTTTCAGGAACTAAGAAAGAGGAACTACTTGATTAGTCGACTTGGGATAGTGTCCTTGGAATAGAACAGGTATGTACACCCCGTAAAGTGAATATTAATTCAAGTAAAACATGTTCATCTGTTAACTATTCCATAGAGCATTACCTGTCACAAAATGGCGTCAACATAAATTGGTTAGTTTACATTATTTCCAAAGAATTATGAACGATTTAATATTCTAATTTAAGTTGCAAAAAATTATATAAGATGCTGACAAAAGTATGCAGTGAATATTATAAATGCATTCTGATGGTGGCAAGACCGAATATGTTCGGCTTGGAGCGAAATGGCAAACAGATTTGAAACAAAAGAGACAAAGTTATTCTATAACATCATTAACATTCATTGCAATTGTTTTAACTAAGGTAAATTAAAATCAGTATATTAAGTAATTAAGTGGACAATGTGATTTTAAAAAAAGTCAGGTCGTCAGGTCGTCTGTACATAAAGTGACCGCAACGTTTGAGTGAGAAACTGGTGACTGTAGGTTATCCTACAGACCCGTAGCCGGGGGAGGGGGGGGGGCGAAAAAAAACCCTTTTTTGTCGTGAAAAGGTCCCGTCTGGGTAAAATTTTATCTGGGCGCATTAAGGTTTCATGGTAAAATGTCCACCTTTTCAGAAAAAGATCCCCCTTCTGGCTACGGGCTTATCACATTTTAATGTTTATTTATTTACTTTTATTAATTATTATTTTTGTAAGATCTCAATTCAGGCTTAAAGTCACCAATTTCAAGGGGTAAAGGACTTTTTTTAACTACATCGTTGACACAGCTTTTGATTCAGAGTGGACTTTTTCGTCCAAAACTGTGGTTCTTTTGACCGACCCCCCTTTCCTTTTCTACTACATGTAGTCTACACATATCACCTACAAACATTCCCAATACGAAATAAAAAACTGCAAGTACATGTAAAATAATGCATTGAACATAATGCTCTGCGCATTTTTTAAATGTAGGCACTAAGAAAGATGGAAATGTAAATTCAGTATCCATTCAATGACTTAGAGACCATTCCCAGAGACTGCCGTACCAACTTTGGATCGAACTATCTCCGGGGGGGATTCTCGCTTAATTGCAATACACTTGGGCGGCTTAGATGTCTGTCATGCCTGCTGAGGCTGAGAAGGGGGGTAATTAACAGCTTTAGTAGGCGTTTAGCAGCTTCAGTGGGCTCCCCAGACGACTAAGCCGCTTGGGCTTAAAGCAATTTAGCGAGGGGCCCCGTGGAGATGGACCGATCCTGTTAGATCGCTCTAGGGATGGGAACCCAGTCTTAGAGCGCATTCCCAGAGTTTAGATCGATCCAACTAGATCGACCTAACTCCATGGGGGTTCACGCTAAATTGCAGTCAGTCGACCGCGCACGAAGTTTATTACCCCCTTACAGCTTTTAGTAGGCGGGAGAGATATTTAAGCCGACTAAGCTGACAGTAATCTAGTGAGACTACCCATGGGGATAAATCGATCTAAAATCTATGGGAATGAGCCCTTAGACCCCTAGACCGATGTAGCAGCAGCGGCCTATTTCCGAGGGGATTCTCGGTATGAGAATGGGTTCTAAGACTCCATCTTCAAGGGGAGTCTCTGCATTCAGGTTAAGCGACTTAGATGACTGGCACGCCTACTGAACCTGCTTAATGATAAGTTAATTACCCCCTAAGAGCCGCTTAAGCTGAATGTTATTCAGCGAGAAAGCCCTCGGAGATGGGTCGATCCTGCTAGATCAATCTAGGTATAAAAAAAAAAGACACTTGCTATCATTTACATAATCGCACACAAA